AGTGACACGAATTCCGTCCAGATGAAGTAAATCAAATTCCAATCATACAGCAATGGTGCAAATCTAATAAAGAAAGTGTCACGGGAATTTGCAGCAATCGTGTTACACATTTATTGCGCTCGGTACAGAAACGCAATATCGCTGAATTTTACTCATACTAATGTGATTAGCATATATACACGATTTTGTATAGTTTATAAATTAGAAAAAAAAACTTTAAATTATGTAATTAAAATAAATCTTTGATATTAATCGTTGTGATGTAACACAATACAATTTCAATGTGAAATAATTTGACATATTTAGTCCGGTTATTGGCATTACAGCCAATAACCCGGACTAAGGAAATAAAATTACTATATATTTATGTATTATTATGTAAGACCAGTCAAGACAAGTCACGAAAATTTAAAAATATAATAAATTTAATTATTTTCCTATAATAGTCTAAATCTTAATTACTAAGTGTGCTGCGAAAGTTTAACTTTAGCTTTAAGTATGCTTTTGACAAAGGAGGTTGAAAAATTCAGTGTTGAGACAATATTTTCAATAAAATATGAATACTTAAATGAAAGTAGTCAATATTAGATTAATTAGGTTAGTCTCAAACAACAAAAATATACCGACAAAATGTTTTTTTTTTGTTCAACACTAAAGCTCATAAAAAACATAAAAATATCCTAAAGTGTATACGGGCTTTGTGAATCAATCGTTCGGAAATAAATTGATTAAATCGTTGATGCGTCGTTGCGTAATCACTTGACTTGACGTCGGTCGCTTTTGATAGTGATAATCTTTCACAGTAAATTGAAAAGCCAACTCGCATGCATCAATTACGATCATCAAGATGAGATATATCATACCAGTAGCAATAGTAAATAACTAAGCTTTCAATTGAATTTTCTGTATATGTAGAAGATGCTTATAAATAGAGGTCTGGTCTGAAAGCGATACACTTTTTGCGGTGCGTGAAGAGAAAGTTACTTTCTTGGGGAGTTTATCATTGCAAGCTCACCATAAATTATAAATTACGGTCGTTTTCCATGGATTAATGGAATGCCGAGGGTCGGAAGATTTTTCGACCTTCTCCTTCCAACAGATACCCGAAACGCCCTGATAATTTATAACGATACCGTTCTTTGCAGAAACTCTTCCATCATTATCTTATGAAATACGATTTACATGCATTTCACAATTCAATAGCTTTTACTGTATTTCAAATATGAAAAATAAGGTAATTAACAACTTTTATTGTTTTATTTTATTGCTAGATTATACAGCTTTTGGTACAGTTTAAATATAAGTATTACCTATTGGTCAAAATGACCTATAAATATAATAAATTATTTACAACACATTCGACCATGTACTACTTCTTTCATTAAAGTATTAGTCTCACTATAGAAATGTATGATCTCAGGTTTTTTTTATATTTTAATTCACAGTATTAATGTGATGCTTACCGATTGCCGATTTTCACAGTTTTGGTATATTTCACTTTGAAATCAAAATATTGATAATATTTCAAGAACGCATTTGGGTAAAAATATAACATTATTAATTTCCTCCAACTATATAATACTAAACTAAAGTTTACTTTAGGTTACAGCAGCGTTTTCCAAACTGTGACTAGTCTAAGGAGAGGCGCGAATATTAGTAGCTGTGAGCAATTTTCCAAATGTCTGCTAAAGTTTAGATACATTCCTGTGCTCTTATCCATATTGCTGTAATACGCGTTCAAAGTTGAAAAAATGAAATTAGAACGTTCGAAAAAGCAGTGTTTTCACATTTCATTGATTGACTCGAAAACTATAATAGATAGAATGAATATGCATATGAAAGCTGAATGTTTGGGGAATCCAGCAAGTATAGATACATTATTGTGCTCTTATCCATATTGCGTAATACGCGTTCCTTTTATGAAATGAAGGGGGGTGGGGAGGCGCCAAATGATTACATACTTTTGAGGGAGGCGTAGCATAAACAGCATAAAACTGTACGACACCAATGCAATTATAGACTATATAAAGTGCGTCTGCTCCTTTGATGTCGTTAGAAAATGTATTAATGTTGATTCCTTTAGTATTGGAATCAACACACATTCATTTTATGTCTAATATAATTTCGTACTTTGATGCCGTCTTTCATTTCACATTTCCAATTTATCAATATTTGGATTACTTATATGATCAATATGTATACATACAATTCAATTCCAGTTATTAATTTAATCTTAAGTGACCCGGCGCATCCACTGTGTTTTTAATTACAAATTATGAATAAACTTTAAGTAAAATTAACATAGCCAACATTATATAATAAAGAAAATATTACGTAATACATCGCATAGTCCGGATTCGCTCTAGTACGGTTTGAGAATATCAAAACAAACTAAATACAAAATAAGAATTAATTCTAAAGTATTATTAAGTCTATTTTTTGTACGTTTTCTAACAGTGCGGATATTATATCTAATTTATAAGTTAATTATAAACAAAATAGTTTGTGTCACGCTCAATTTTTAGTAAATGTAACTATTGTAATACAACTATTATAATAATTTAGGTCATGAAGTACATCCGCTATAGTTGACCCAATGCACTACTAAATCGCAAATTGCAATCTATTACTTTGCAACACCGAGTATAGAATGGACAGACAACAATACGTAATTAAAGCCAAACATGACACGACCCAATTTAATCTTAACAGAATAATATTGCATTGTTTTTAATTACAGTCTAAAGAGTAATAAATAAATTAAATTTAGATTAGTACCAATCTTAGCATAGCAAATGCATAAAAATAATTTATTTCATTGTTACTCTATGTTATTATATTTACAAATTTTAAATAAGCAAATACTAAGTCGTTTTTAATTTCTATGTAATAATAAATAATTATTACGTGTAATTAAAAGAAACATTAAAAAAAGTATACATAAAAGTATATATATATAAGTTATATTTTGTAATTTCAAAATTTGAATAATAAATCTTAGATTTAGTTGAATTTTTATATAATATTGTAGAAACAGTGAACAAAATCAATAAATTAACGTAAATCGGTTATATTACTTACAAAATTGGGGCAGATATCTAACTTTTTTTCATGAAGTGATAAAATGATAACAAACGTGTATCCTTTGATCATTTGAAACGTAAGTGCTAAGAAGTGTTTAATTGACAATGGAGCGCACAAGACTGACCTTAGGAACAACAACTGCAAGTAACTTGGACCAACGTTTCAAGGCCATCACAGCGATACAATTTGCGCATCGAATAGCGCGATCTTGTCGACATTGTTCATTTTCATTCGCTCAATCAATGAACAATCGATGCTTATACAACTTTATATATATATATAGAAATGTAAATTGGAATTGAACACAATTGCTTTTAGTTTTATTTACGAGACGTGTGCACATGTGGTTCATACGAAATTGTAATGTTGATCGAGTATTAGAAAAATTGCACTTATTGAAACAACATTTATCATTTGTATTAAAAAAACTTCTAGAAATTAATTGAAAAACAAATAAATGAAAAAATTTGTTAAGTGATTGAATATTTAATTACTTAAATTTAAATAATTAATCAATAGAACAAACGAAAGTATTAATTAATATTTCAATATTAAAAATACTTCGAAATAAACTTCATAATTTAAAGTTTAAACTGCGAAATAAACTTTAAATTAAAAAAAATATAATATATCCCAAAGATTTAGTCAAAACTTCTAAGAAATTTCTATAGTAAATCGTATTCAAAATACTTAAATGTAATATAAATTGAGAAACAAATATTTCAAAATATTTTTTTGAACAATATTTTTTTTGTATATAAAACATGTTAGAGCCCTTTTAGAGATAAAAAGTTTCTGCGACTCCCTTTTCGACATACAAAGTTTCTGCGACCCCCCGAAGAATGAGTATATGTAGATAAACAACAAGGATTGCTCTGTCATTATTTTTTTGCGAAGCTGTAGCATTCTAGAACATGTGAATTTTGTCCATGTCATTCCTTTTCTATAAAAAAAATCTGGTTGACTTGCTTCTATAATTAGTTGTGCTATAGTTATGAATTTCATTATATGGAACAATTCACTTGTAATTGTATAAATGAAACAACAAACAATCATTAAATAAGAAAGTATAGAATTTAACAACAAATGATATAAGTTGTCGAATATCATTTATATATTTTCGCGGAGAAATATAATAATAAAAATCATCCAAAAAAGCTATCTGCATTGATTTAATCATCATATAAATCAGACTTGGTTATCAGAGCAGATAACAGCATTTTCAAGAAAATCAATATTCACGCTCATGCGTTTTCTAATGTAGCGAATACACTTTATTCTTTGCAGTTTATAACATGCAATGATTTAAGTATATTATAAATATAGTTTAGGAATGTCATTAATTAATTTAATAAAACAGATGAAAACTTGTCAGTAAACAAAAAAAAAATTGTTCTAAAATTTATTTCATGTAGAATTTTACTTGGTTATTAAACACTATATATATTTATTATTAAGCAATACAAATATTTTAATGAAAAACAAGTAAGCATATTTGGAACAGTACGATTTAAAAAGTATTCGCGAAGACATAAAAATCGCTGACTCTATTATTGAATTAGTGTTTGTGGATTAATTTGCCGATACGCAAATTGTGGTTGGCGGTATTCCATCGAGTATTCAATAAAATAAATAAATAAACACATACAGAATGAAGAGTTGCGAAATCGAACGGAAATCCAATTAAAATGTTCTATGGTGCATTAATTTTGCAATAGAGTTTAGATTAAATCGAACTGCATCATGTAAATCAACTCGTTGATGGAATTACATTAATTGTGTCCTTAAACCAGAGAGAATTACAACCGCTGATGTTCTTCAGAGAACCTTTCAATTTGATATTTTATTAAATGATTTTTAATAAAGATTTAATTACTAAATTAATCAGCTAAGAAAATATTTTAAAAAGAACTTACTAAATGTGTATCCAAAAGCGTCTTCATCTTCTTCGTCGGCGTCGATTTCTTCTTTAGTTCTTTTGACATTAGCAGCTGATGCTCGATCGATCTGTAAACAGAAGCAGTTGCATAAATGTGAATGGAAGATGTTACAAGATTGTGTACCTCTTCTCCTTGCTTGGAAACCGTCCTTCCTTCCAATTCTCGTGTATCCTCTTCATCGTCATCACTTTCATCGCTGGATTCGTATGATTTTGATCTTTCAACCTGTTTCTTTTCGGGTGAATCAGCAACGATTGTTTCTTCATTTTTAACGTCAACAGCATCGTTAAAATCAACCGATTTTTGCTTGATCAGCGTCGAATTTTCCTGCAAACCAATCTGTAAAAGACCAATTCAACAGTGTAGCAATAAAATATTCACCTTTACAATTGGAACCGAGGTGTCGATGTTGTTGATCTGCGGTTTCTTCAGTGAAGATTGATGTGATGAGGATTGTAACGAATTTTCCACTGGTTTCTGCGACTGAATGTTATTCGATTCTACCTGATTTTTGTTCACATTTAATAAATGCACACAAATCGATGAAAGATAAAAATATATTTTAATTGTAAATATTATTATTGCGTTCATATAAAAACTGAAAAGTACCTGACCGATGAGAGATTGCACTAGAAATGTTACTGGATTATTCGCATATTTTATAGCCTCCACCGCTTTTTCGTGATTAATATTTCTTAAGTTTTCACCGCAAACTTCCAAAATACGATCACCAGTCTATGAAATATATTAAAAGTAGTAGCATAAATTTCAAATACTTTATTAAACTTTAACCTTCAATTGACCGCTTCTTCCAGCTGGACTGTCAGGTACTACATTTTTAATGAAAATTCCTAAAATCGTCTCCGAATTATCTTCGTGATGTAAATCAACCTGAAATAAAGTAGATTCTGTTACGCTTATTACTATAATATTCTTCGTTAGTTCACTGACCTTTCCACCAACTATGCTAATTCCTAAACTGGTATTTGGTTTTCTACTTATCTCAACGATTCTTTCTGGTCCCCAATGTTTCTCCAGCATTTTGCTAAATTCTGAACTCTCGATTCCATCCGTTCTATCATCTATTAGTTTACTAAAATTTGATCGGTCTTCTTCACTGTAATGAAATGCAGTATTCTATTTAGCACACTACCTTCTACTTTTATACTAAGTGGTACAACGCGAATAGCAGACTTCAAATAAATGACGAATATTGATTGATTATAATAAACCACAACGTGTATGCGATCTTATTACGGATTCTTTTTAACAGGATTAGCAAAGTGAACGTTACCTATGGCTTCGTATATGATTTATTGTATTAAAATGTTAAATTAATTATGTATTACCTTATATTGCAAATACCGTGAAGAAATTCAGATTTTCTCCGCACTCGGTCAGGTCCTGGGTCATAAGTCAAGGTAATAAAAGAATTGTCGAGAATATCTGGGGCGGATTTACTACGTATTGATAGCATTATCTCGTTGAAAATATAATCATCGTCAATCTCTTTACTTTTCAATTTGACTTCTCGAAACGCCTCCAAGCAATCTTCTATGTCATTGTAATATTCTTCGATTTTGTATCTGTAAGTAGTATTGCTTAATCTCTCCAACACGTTCGGTTCACTATGGCATTTTTCAGGTATCTCTTCAGGATATTGCACTAGAAAAAACTCATCTTCGCGTATCGAGTCATGGGTATTGTCGTACGATTTGAGTCCATCGTCTTGATGTTCGTATTTTGAATCCGATAGTAAGCAAGGCAACGAATTTGTATGATTGGTTTTCGTGCAGATATCCAAATCAATTTTAATTATTTGTTTCCCCTCAAACAAATCGTTGCCTTTCTCTAAAAAAGCTTTGCTATCGTGCTGCTCTGCTACTTGGTACTTTTTCTCTTCAATTTTTTTCTCCTTCTTTTTCAGACTTTCCTTTTTTTTCGTTATTCTTTCCAACTCTTCTCCCACTTGAGCCAATTCTATTTCCAGCTTTTGCTTGTTTAATTCGACCTCTTCAGCAAAATGTATCATCGATTCGCATTTAACTAGATTGCTCAGAGAGTTTGTTGGTGTTTTATCGTTTTTGAGAAACTCGTCGGAGAAGGACTCATCTAAGCACGTCTCATAACCGTCCTTCTCTGAATCCTCAGCACTTTTAGGCAACGTATCTGATTTTATCAGGATATGATTGACTAAATTATTATTTTCTATATTTGTACTAATTGTATCACACGAGCTTCTGTTTTTCACTTCAGGCTCTCGCTTCGTGAAATTGTGAATAACATTGCTGGATGCACAAATATCTTCTACTTGTGACATGCAAGGTGAATAGTTGAACGAACGGTCTTCTTCTATTGCTATCTGCACAACTTCCAAGCATTCTTGATATTCTTCGATGCACTCTTGAAAATCATCGATGCAAGTTTGATCATCTTCAGTATCCTACAAGAAAAGAAAAATAACATAAAATAACAAATAACTCCACTAGTACATAATTGTTTCTACCGGGTTTTTGTATCGGGATTGAAATTATTAGTTTACTATTTCATTAACTCTAATTCGACTTTATTTAATTATATTGTATACATATATGACATTTAGGAACTAAGTACAAATCCACGTTAATTTTGTGCGACACAGTGAGTAGACGGAAGTAGGTGTATATAAATCTGAAACTGAAACAAATTTGAATTATACTTCCCTTATCGGAATGGTCTGAACACAAAAAGGACTCTACTTACGAATAATATAATTTAAAAAACTTCAAACGTTTTCCAAATCTTGGATCCAGCGATTTAAAATCATTTGCAACCACTAAAACAATGAGGCCACTGTTAATAGACACAACACCAAAGAACGTCAACACAACCGCTACACATTGATTTTACACGGAATCGGGAGATTGTAATGCAACGCACGTGCATTAATACAAATAAAATACAAAAAAAAAACATTCAATCTATTGAGATCTATATGCATGTAGATGAAACTTACTTGGCTGTTGTGTGAAATCGAGTCGTTGGATAAAGGTTTGGCAACAGTAATCTTCACTTGTCCTTTGTGGGCACCCTTGAGAACCTGCACAGCTCTATCCAAGCTCGCATGCTCGACATCTATATCGTTAACAGCTAAAAGACGATCACCGGGAATTAGACGACCGTCTGTTTGGGCAACTCCGCCTGGTATTAGTGAACGAATTACTATCACAGTTTCTTGAGGATTCAGCGGATCCTGGAACACAAAATTCATTCAGTTGCGTTTCGACCAACCAACAAATTAAGATTTACTTGATAATCCAATATAGAAAATCCAAGACCGTGGTCGCCCTTATTCAATATGACATTTGTGGGTTCATTGGTCCACATTGCTAAACCAGCCACCAATTCTAGTGAGCGAGATCGACTACAGCAACTCTCACTAAGGACACTCGACGCTATCGAAGTATCCGATTTGGCTTTGACTAAACGTTCAGGACTCTGCATAATTGCGTTCAAACTTCCCGCTAAAATATTCTAAAATATTTCCGAAAAACAATTACGGAGTCTTTAGTTTACATCTACTACTACTTAAATCTTACTCGAGCTTGAAATGCTTCACGATGTTGAGACGTGTCGATAATACGAGTTGGCACAGAATATCTAGCACATACTAGTACAACTAAACTTGGAAGTTGTTTCAAAATAGATACTACCTCTACATGATTTAATCCTAACAACTGTATACCATTGACTTCGAGTAATTCATCGCCGGATTCAAGAATTCCATTTTTACCGACTGGACCATGTGGAAGAATGTTCCGAATATAATGATGTGGACGAACTTCTTGGCCACCTTCCACGTCTACTGTACCTTCCAAACTAATTCCAAGGCCATTCGTTGGTTCTTTCGTCAATTCGGCAATCTGATAATCGCACAAATGTTAATGACGAAGCAAATTATTATATAAATAGTATTATTATTATTACCACAATTTGCACTTCGTCTGTAAGTTTATCACGCCATTTGGTATTGATAGACTCTTGACTGCAAATGCTAAACTGCATCGACAATCTTCCATCAACTGTATCAATGAAAATCTCGTTGGGGTCATGCAATGGTGCCTCAAAATCATGAAGGACGGCAGAATCAAAATCGAAACTTGTTCGAGATTCGTAATCAGGTTCAATGCCCAATGAGCTCATATGCTGCAAATATTTCAATTAATTAATATTAACATGAAATGTATTGGGCTTACTACAAGACTTAAAGGTATTTTAGGCAACGAAGAGGCAGACGGTGACGGCGGTGAAGGAGGTTTCAGTTCGTTGGCTAATATAGCTTGCTGCAGTTGTTCATATTTTGGACCTCTTAGGTACCTTTCAAAGCGTATGTTCACTTTATTTCCTGTACTTTTTAACAGCTCCACGGCCTGGTGATTTGTTGATCCAAGCACAGATTTTCCATCAACCTAAATATCACTGATTAGATTTGCTCGATATATGCAAACGGTACTAACCTCAATTATACGATCATTAACTTTGATCGTTCCAGTTAGATCCGCGGCACTTCCTTTGCTGATGCTCTTAACAAATATTCCGGAGATTTCTTCCTTTTCACATACGTAACCGGCGACGGTGATTCCCAATCCCAACTCATCTTTCATTAAGTCTATTGTATAAATCTCTGTCTCCGGTGATGAATCCCTGAGAGCCATATCTAGAGGGAGAAGATCAACGGTAGTCACAGGCGGAAGTGATTGAGGAGGTAACGTTGGAACCGTTCCAATCGGCAATGGATTACGAACAACGTCCACTAATCCGGAAATAGTCTGTAAAATTTATTTATTATTCACGGTTACGCTCTCGCTTTTTTTTTTGTAAAACTTGCATGAAGTTGAAGATCACTTTGCTGGCCCGAGTATATATAAGGCGTTGAGTAAGAGTTGGACGGATTTTGGAAATAAATGTCCGAGTATCCATTTTCGTTGAGATGTTTGTCGAGTTCAACTGGATCGCCCAAGATCTTCGTTGGAACAATGGGCGCATGGCTACCCAACGTCTACCAAATATACACACTTCAGAGACCTTGACCCTCAAAGAGTAGAAGAAAAAAAGTGCAAAGCTATTACCTGATAGTCTGTGGAAGTGGATTCGACCGGTCTTGCAACCACAAGCCGCACGTGCACACCGCATTGACGAAGAACCGAAGCCACCTGCTCAGAACCCAACCCACGCAAGTTTACCTCACCTATCTGCAAAATGTGGTCACCGCTTTGCAATCTACCGTCCTACAATAATATAAGACAAAAAATAAAGTCAAACAAACTAATTAACGCTTTCTTGAAACTTACCCGATCGGCAACACCTCCAGGTACAATTGTTTTGACAACGACTCCTGTACTCCTGCCTCCTATGATCCCGAATGCCAAACCCGAACCATCGTTGATTAGATCGATAACTTCGACTTGGGCCCAATCGGTGTTCAGCTAGAACGATCACATATATTTAAATTTGCTGTTTTCGTGTGAATATCCGCATCACTGCTTCTTGAGTTGTATGATACACCATAGTTGTATAAATAAATAAATTTCGATTTTTACCCGACTGCAGCTCACCCCTGCCACTTTACAATGAAAACTTCTTTAAAATTGAATGCTCCATCAAATATGCAGGACTTTCATTCTCCTAGGATAACAGAATTCCGAGAAAGGTACGAAAATAAAATTGTTTCGTCACGCGACAACTTTTCACTTTAGAAAAGTATTACGTCATAAATTTCATATCATTTCTCAACAAAATATTACAACTGTATGTGACAATTCAAATAAAATATAATATCATATTTTAATTACATACATTTCTCATTTCATTTAATGTTATATAAAGAAATAAAATGTATTTACTTCACAAGTGAAATTAAAAAATATTTCTCTATTGTTTTCCTCCATGTATTGCTCAAGTCAGTTGAAAATATTGCTAGTAAGGAACTTTTATTTCCGGTCGACTGGATCAGTTGAGTGAAACACCGGCTCTTTTAAGATAATGGAAAGCTTACAAACATTTCAAACTCAATCTCTTTCAAATACAAAGAATAATTTTAATTTTAAGTTACGTACTTAATCTCAATTTAGATTTTTGTTATATTTTATATAATAGTTTCAATTTATTAATATTTCATGCATAATTGTAAAGATTGTTTTCTTGTTAATTTTATTTATTATTATTCATAACATAATGCAAACAATAACGAAACTCACCACCATAGTATTAAGTCTCGTATAAAATAGAAGTTCATAAATTGTAAATTCATTGCTTCCTGGAGCCACATGAGGCGGCTCTCATCCTTCAAGATTACTTCAGCATCATTTGAATTCGCACGAGCCTGCAAAAGAAAAGAAACTAGAAAAATACAATTGGAAATATAAAAAAAAAACATATATTCCTATTAAGTTAAGTATTCTGTATACTAAGATAATCATAATACGTGGTTTCTGCATACAAAATGTATACACTCATGATTTTGTCTTTTAATTAACGAAGTCAGTTAAAGTGCTGAAACCGACAATTATATCCTTTTTTTGGAGTACTACTTGAGCGAACAATAGGATCTTTGCATCGACCTGCATTTTGTAATAAACAGAAGCAGTTCAAGGACAAAAAGCTCGTACGCGAAAATGATTTCCTACAGAAGTTGAGTTTTTTAATTTGAAAACATGTCTTATCTTGTGTATTTGTGAGTATATATACATTAGATGTTTTAGAATAGGATTCTCGTGTACTTAAAATTAGAAAATACGATTTATATTTAATATCGTCGCATTCGCATCCCCACACGCCGATACATTTTAATTATGCCGAGCAAATAGAAACTATTTCCAGATGAATCCAGTTACGTAATGTAGATTTATGGCCGATGAAAATGGGATTAGGTAGAATTGAATGGGATTTTCCGAGTGGAAATCTAATACCCTCGAAAAGAAAAATTCAAATGTAGTTCACTTTAAAAATAACGCTACGCATTCCTAATTTCGATGCAGTTCTCGTCGTTTACAATAAAACATTATACAAAGTGTATAAGTCATGATTCTATATAATGCATACGCAATCTGTAGAATACCTATACAGTCAACCCTCCTATAACGCGGTGAGTGCGTACCGCGTTATATGGAAACCGCGTTATATGGAAACCGCGCTATATGAAACTCGTATTTAACCGTACAAACCAGGCTAATTCGTAGCGTGTTCTATGGAAACCGTCTACCGCGTTGTATGGAAACCGCGCTATAAGAAACTCGGAATTAATACAAATCACATCATTCGTAGCGCGTTATATGGAGACCAATAAATACAAAAGACAAGATAAATTATAAATTATTTTTGTATAATGTATTTAAAATCTTTTTTTTTTCATACAGTTTCCAAGCTTTGTAGAATGACAGCATTATAGTCATATATTACATATACTTACCAAAAGTTTTCCTATTCATTTTACTTTTATTACGGTCATGTTTTATGTTGATTTGCCTCAGAGGCTTTGTTCATAAAGACATTATTTTCCCAGTGTGCCCTTAACATAAAATAGCAAGCAGAGTTTGCATATGCCCGATATGCAGGAGTTGATAATGGATAGTATGTGTATAAAGAGAGAGCATATTAAGTTAATGGTGTTTAGAAAAATGAAGATCCATGTAACATAAAATAACTTTATCCTTGAAATATTTTCTTCTAATTTACGACTTATTATAATAAATAGTTAAAAGGGTGGAAAGTATTATAAATGTTTTAAATTTCTGATTCCCCCTTAATCTGTCACTTGAGTAAAACATTGCTCTCAATTGAATAGTTCCTGTGCCTCCAGGAAAATCTTAAATATTTCATAAAACGTAAGAAGGAAATGAATCTATTTCCTGTTTAAGGATTTTCTCGGACTGAGCAATTCTACGGTTCGCAAACGTTCATCTGCTAAATGGATCAATTAGTCGTCTCCTTTATATATTTTCTTTGTTCAGAATATTTTTCTTCCGAACAAACTTTATGTAATTGAATTTATCGGCCTTCCGAGCCGAACTAATCAATTCTTCTTCTCTGCTCTCATTCCTAGACTTTACGCCAATTAATATAAAGATGATTGCCAATCAACTAAATGACCTTGAAGTCTTAGAAAAATAATAGAATTCACTATTATTATTATTATTTTCAATCCACAAAAACTAATTTTACTGCATATTCATACTTAGTAATATTTGAATTACTAATTCAGAGATAAACAGACTGGAAACATAATATAACTTAAATGAAATTAACTGGAAATAAATTTGTAAATCTACACTAGATGTTTGGTATATGATAACATGCTGATATTCAATATTCAACGTGTACATTTGCAATTCACCCACGAAGAAATCGCAAATGCAATTTGCACGAGACGAGCACTATCGCTCGAATTCAAATTGTGCACGCATTTCACGTATCAAATTCTAATACCTACCAAGGTTTACGATATTTTGAAGCATGTTTTTCAATTTACAAACGATTCTTACATTACACTGCTTAACGCCTCAGCAACTAGGTGTATAAGAATATTGCAGTTTAAGTATTGTATTTTTTTTGGTACAATAAATTATTTTCATTATAATCAGAGAATCGAACCGGAACCGAACCGTAAACCGGTTTTTAACTGAACCGTAATTGTAACCGGAACGAAACATTGCTGAATTGAAAAACCGAAACCGGAACGAAACCCATTCCGGAACGAAATTAATTTCGGTTCGACTCTCTGATTACAATTAAATTAAATATGAAAATATACAAGAAAATATTGAAAATTCGCATTTTAAAGAAAGAATTCAATGAGACTTGTATGTCAGGATAGAGCATATTTGGATCAAACAATGAAGAGATGAAACGTGAATGAGGAAAAAGTAATTCGAAATGTATATTCATGTTGCATTCGGCAAACATTCATTTTGAACACAAAACCGCAACCAGAAATTTTCGCACTTTGTGCAAAATTTAAATTCAATTTAAAATAATACCGCCTTTAAATGAAATGCGCCAGTACTTTTCTTCCGAAAAAAAGACAATAAAATACAATTAACGTGCATTCGCTCAGCGTACAGCTTTTTGTGTACGCATTATGTTTGTTAATTGACTATATTGTTACTAGAATTCAGAAAACCATTTTAACAAACAAATCGATTTGATTGCCAATTGGAATCGAAACATTAATAAAGTTTATTAGCAAATTTCCATTTATGTTCGCTTACAAATTATTATTTAATTTATGTGAAATCAAATGAAAAGTGCTTTCCATTAAAATTTTATTAATAGGTAACATTTGTAAAGTATATATTGATTATATGTATTTCATTTAAATTTTAAACTTTAAATGCAACCAAATATAAATAAACCATAGGTCTTTCTACACATCAAAACGTTTCTAAGATTCTTGCAAAGTGCTTTAGCGTTTGAAACTATTTTGAAAATTGCTTGTTCGTAATTAATTGCAGTATTTACGAGCTCGTTGCAACGCAAATTCACGATCGTTAATGAAAAGTAAATAAACTGATATTTAACTAACTTGTTAACTATTTTATGTAATCAACATGTATTTCTAATTATATTTTGAGAAATATCAATAAATAAAGTATGTTCAATTATCGAGTGTATTTTTAGCAAAACCTTTGGTTTTATTTACGAGTTTATTATGTGGATGATTTTCTAATGAATGAATATATTATAAGAAAATGCAATATGGAAAGATCCTAAGAATCTCATAATTTTGTATTATAATGCGAAGTTTCGTTCATTTTACTATTATTAAAAGACATACAATTTTCAAAGATATTTCATAAACGAGAATCACAGTAGGGTGGACTACAATGGTTAATTACTTGAAGTAGGGATATTCCCACTTAATCCTACTTCAGATATATTGGTAAATAGCCTTATATTTACCAAAATTTCGAAATATATTGAAAGATTCAAATTTCACAAAGATACTAGTTCCACAAAACCTTGAAATTATATTTATACCATGTATAGAGTGGTCTGATGGAAAGCACCACACGAAGGCTTTCAATTGGAGTCCATTTAAAATTGTCACTAAAATATTCATCGAAGCCGTGTGGTGCTACGATACAAAGAGACATCTATATCAGACAGCATAAGCAGCAAAAGAGGGCAACATAAGCATGTGAGTACATAAAAATTTTGTGGTTTCATTCATTTACAGCCCAATGTCGTGTAATTTTATTTACAATCTGTTCATCAATGTGAACATTGAGTAAATATAAGATCGCGGTTGACATTAGATAGGTAGGATAGTAGGTGGATAGTTTTACCATTATGATGATTTTTAATTTGTAGCTTGGTTGTCATCTTGTAGGTTAACTTCAGTAGTATATTGATGCTCTGCGAATCCACTATTTCCATTGATTGTGAATCTGCTGCTATCCTTAACACTGTCATTGTCCATCGAGACTTGGCTGAAGGTCCATATGCTGAACCTCATTCATTTCACTGTCCATCTATGATGAAAGCTGCAAGCACCGAGAGAGCTCACAAAGGGCATGGCTTGACCAGGAATTGAACCAGCGCCCACTTGTTCGTTTCTCGGAAATTATAATAGATTGAATGGATTGAAAAGATACATATGAAAGCTGGTTATTTGGGGAATGCAGCGAGAATTCATACATTGCTGTTGTTTCGTCCATTTGGCAATCGCGTTCAAAATTGAAAAATGAAAAAGTAACACTCGAAAAACCAGTATCTTCACATTTTAGATGTTCTCAGAAACTAAAATAGATGCAAATATGCATATAAAACTGGGATGTTTTAGAAATGTAGCGACTATTTGCACATTGCTGTGCTTTTAACCATTTGGCTAAATACATATTAAAAATTAGTAAAAAAAAAATAACAAGTAATGGACAGAAAAATGATAGTTGCAAAGAGTAATTAGCCGGGCTAATGAGAAACTGAATGAGTCGGATTGAACTCATATCCGGTACTTGAATGCTGCATTCGGTGGAAAACTGTCCGCTTTTATCTGGCGTCGTCGGATGAACGAAAAATCGATTTTCCGGCAGAAGCATGTGTGCAATTTCGCAGTGTGCAGTAGTATCTCTATTGTCCACAGAATACCGAAAGAAAAGCAGATTCCCGACGAGGTTATTAAGAATTCCAGAATTCCCTTTTTTTTATTTTCACAACATCCTTCATTTACAACAAAAAAATAAAATAAAGAAATAGAAAAAAAAAAGTAATTAGCGCGATGCGGATGCGTTTGCAAAACCAGACTATGTTGTTATGACCTTTCACGATTTATGTCATGTCAACGTGCGATTTTTGAATTTAATCTACGATATTATTAATACCCGGTAATAAATCCTTGCACGCTGCAAAGGATATATTGGAATTTATGCAGCTACCGCATGCTGCATATTATATAAATAATTCCGTGCATCTTAGTTATTACTTTGGAGTTTAGAAATTCGCATCTGCTTCCACGTCTTCAAGGTTCTCTTCTACAGAAAGCACACATCATATTTCACGAACTTACAATATTGTATTTATTTTACCTAACATTTTCAAATGATTGAGAAGTTATATTAACAAAAAAATAACAATTATAATTCTTTCAAATGTCCATAATTTCTGGCTTTATGTATTATATATGTATGTAATATATGCAAAAGTTTTATTATCTCGTTTTACACGGTACTTTATTTACATTTTTTAAAATTAAATTAAGAAATTAATTTTTACACGTTTTTCTCAGAAACCTATCTACCGTGTAAAACGAGGGATAAGTGTATTTGCTATTATTGGATAATAAATTGGAATTATACACTTATATAGGCAAGTCAAACGTTTGAGTGTTTCAACGATCCCAATCGAAATCGCTTATCCGAAAATGAAGACAACAATTATTTTAACAAACTGTTCGCAATAGATTCAAAACAAATATTGGAGCAACAACAAAACTGTCAGTGAATTTCATAAATCTTCTCCCATGTATCTTTTATGAGGTATTGAGATTGATGACTCAAATACTTTTAATGGCATTGCACAGTCAATCAAAATGTGCTGTTTGATAAACATACATATTTGCCATAAAATGCAGCAAAAGACGTATTTCATGTATGTACAAAAAAAACTTTTCTATTAAAGAGTTATTAACGTATTTTCATCATTTTTATTTCAGGGATTAATTACTCACAATATGGTTTTCTTTATTGTAATCAAAGAATAATCAATAGCAAAATGTTATTAAATTTGGCCTCGTTCAATGAAGTTAATTTTTGATATCCAAATTATTTTAAACATGTCAAAGTAAATGAATTTTATAAAAGAAAACGTTTTTATAGAAGAAAATTAATAAACGAAGTAAAGCAATGTTTTGTAAAGGCAATAAAAACGGAAAATCGCTAAAAAGGAGAGTTCGAGTCGACATCAAAGTGATTCGAAAACCATTGTGAGCCTGACAATTTAATGCAGTTTCTATTTGTCGAATCTCTTTTACTTTTATTAAATTAATCAAAGAACTTACTTTTTCACAAAAAAACAAATGGAATTAATTAATTGTTTTTTTTTTCTCTATTTCTAAAAATTGTAATAAGTTATACAATAAATATGAAATTTAATATTCGTGAAATTTACTTAAGTTCTGAAAAATTGCGTCCGCTTAGTGTTGTAAGAACGATCGAAAATGCACGAAAAGGAATGCGAAAGCAAAGGGTTCTTTGTGTGTGAAAGAAACATATAAACAATATGCGCGTAGTATTGCAACATCAAAGCTATTTCAAAGCCTGCGAGAGATGAAGCAATTCCGAAAATATGTTCCAGAGACGCGATCAATTACATTCCCAGTGTTTGTGAAAAATAGAAATAAATAAAACGAGAAGGAAACGCAACAAGAGCTTGCCTGGAGTCATGCCAATCAAAATTTTCAAGTGCATCTGATAACTACTTATACTTTTCAGGCGATATTTCAAAATGCAACACACGCATTCTTTAAAACCATCGATTTATTAATACTCTCAATTTAAATACTTATCAACTGGAGTTTATCTATTTTAATATATAAACTTATTTTTCATTTGTTAAATAATACTGATTGTAATACTTCTTCTGTCCGAAAACGAGTAAAAAAAATATAAAAAAAAGGAACAAGTCTTCTTTGACAAACATTTAAACTAAGAAGAGAATCCTACTTGCTAATATCTTTAAAATGTTCATAAGAAAACAATGATACATTAAGTAATTATGTAAGTAATAAAGTTTTGTTTTACAATTCCTATCAATATAATATTGACATGTATATTGTTATTTGGTTGCTGTGTAATAATTAATTCATTAAATATTAAAGTATTACCCAGAGAACATAATGGAATATACCAAAAAATCCATTTGACAAACTGAAAGAAAAAAACGTAATTTTCTGGTTAAAAACGTATTTTAATAATTGATTTTGATTAACGGTTTAGAAAATTTGCTCCACGCTCGATCAGGTGAATAATAAATACCAGATAACCATGAAGGTGTGTTGTATAGAGTAAACGACCAAACAGGAAATATAGTCCAATAAATTTCAGTTCAATAATTACATTATAGATAAAAATATGTTATCAATATTTATAATATAAAATTTACCATTAATTTCTTAAAAAAATATGAAAGTATATTAATTCAATTATTTTCAAATGAAGTCCAAAGCACAATAAATACCGCATCCAAAACAGAAGTGTGCCTTGAAACAAAATATGTTTTAAAAATGTTAACGATAATTGCATTACAGTGTTTTATTGAAATGACGAATTACATAAATCAATAGATAAAAAAAAGCACTACTATTATAGCATTAAAATTACTTGTATCAGTGCATAATTTCATCTCATAAAATATTAATTTTAGTCTTTAGTAATTTAAAGCGAATTCATGTGCGCCTTGACAATGTAAATATAATTAAATGGCAAAGCTCTTGTTACAAACATAATAGTCATATTAATTAAGGGCGACCAAGAACGGCAAACTCGCTTTTGCTGTCTGTGTTAATTCAATGAACAATCACTTTGTAGATAAACCATCTAATAATTAAATGTTCTATAATTTATCATTTTGAAGTCAAGTTCATACATCGTTTTACGATATTCTGTGTGAATTAAGGTTTTTTCTATTCATAAATTTATAATATATACGATCTTGATTGAATCACCCTCGCGTTTCAAAGGTGAAAATCACGTATAATCAGTACGGTATATCTCGGAATAAATAATACGAACTTATTTAACAGAAAACGTAATGGATTCATGTAAAAGTTAAATTATTTTCTATATCTTTTCACCAGTAATTTGTAAATAATACTATTTAAAAATTGTCTGCTAGCTTTAGTATGTATATTTATTGCTTTATATTACATTAATCGAGCTAACAGTGTGTTTTGATTTGTATATTTACAACATTCTAATTACTTATCACCGGTTAAAATACTATGAAATTAAGTAGTATTATTGATTACATTTTATGTATAATTAAGTATTAATCAAATTGTGTTAATGTAGATAATGTTAATGTAAAGTTCAAATACAAATGCAGTTAATTTTCATTTATAATGGTCTGACTTAATTCGTTACTGTTAGTCGACATTTGGCTTTCGGTGAAATTTATTATTATGATTGATCATAGCGTTTGCCACAAAATAGTTTGGCCGGAGCTCAAAGATCCAATAAACTCATCATCATTAAATAAGTGTAAGACAATAATAGCTGTAATGAAGATAATAGTGTGTATAATTTCCAACTTTCTTGTTTAATATAGAAACAATGAGGATAATATGTTATATATGTAGGGCGGCTAGGATAATGGAATAAATTAAGTGCGATGTATATTGTTGTTGTTGTTTATAAGGGAAATGGCAAAAAAAGACGACCACACCATGTGTGTGAGTATATAAGCGAGCATGATCAATATTTACCTGTTTTACAAAAGGCGCGTTTTAGTGGAAAGAGCGCGCGTACACAGAATCAACTAAAAGTACAACGGGATCATCAATCATGTGTGAGGAGAACAATGGAAAAGGGCTTACCTTGTAGGCAGGACGACGAATGGTCGCCGGGGTGACGAACTTGTAGCTCGCGTTTGATGCGTACAGGATATACACTGAAGCAGGATAGACGCGCCAAACGTACAGCAGGAAACTGGTGGCCAGAAATGCTCAGGTTGCTGCTTCGTGAAAGGAAGGAAGCGAAACGCGCAAGTCCACCCAAATACTACTCGCGAAATCAGTACTGAACTTTTCGCAGGATTACATCATGCCTCAGCCCCTAAATTATTGAATAATCGTTTCAGTCACCCAAACACTCTGGAAATTGGAATAGGAAAATGAAGCAAACACACACAAATAATATTTAAATAAAATATATTTTTTACGCATAAAGTCATGAGATAATAATTAATATTCTAATATAATGTAAAAACGTTAGTAAACCAATAGAAAAAAAATCATTTTTATTGTGTACAAATCACAGGAAACACTTTGAATGCATTACTGAAGTAAGTCCGATATATAATATTTTGAATATTTAACAATTTATAGAATTTATTATTAACTCGAAGCCTCGAAAATGAAAGCTTATATTCACTCGTCTTCAATATCGACTTTCTTTGTTAATCTTTCAATCGTCTTTATAAGCTCGCCGTTATACCTCAAAATATCCTCGATGTTCGTCCTATATTTTTCAGCCTCCTTAAATATACTTCTTAATTTCCTCTTCTGCGTAATACTCATTGCGTTCGGTGTATCCGTACCATTGTTGGCGTGGTCCAGGACTGCTTGCATGTCCTCCATGTACTGCGTGTTGTAAATGCCCAGATTCTGTGTGAAATTCTCCAGCTTATTTTCGTACATGTTCACGTCTTTGTTGAGAATCACCGTCTTCAAGTAAATCGTCTGGGCAATCTTGTACCAGTCGCCGAGTATCTCGGCGAAATGGTTATAAGCCGGAACGCAATCCGATTCCAGGAGCTGCTTGATCCTACGATTAGTTTCGGTGATTTTCGTTCTTTCCAGTACGTGAAACTGCTCATCATTGTAGCTGAGCGATCTCGTGGCACGATCACGGACGAGATGTTGCCACGAATCACGAAGCCTCTCAATTAAATTCTTTGCTTTTTCTGCGGCTTTCGTTTCCGATGGACATTTGATACCGTTGCAGGACGAATCCCATTCCAATTGCAGCGTGTTCTCATGCACGTGCTTTTCATACACCTGAGTCACCTTCGAATAGGTCTCTGTAAGAAAATCTTCGCTCAACTTCTCGAGATCTTCGGGTAACTCGGTAACTGTAATTTTAGTTTTGCTCAGAGCGTTTATCGTATTTTGCGAGACTTGGAATGTATTGCAGACCATCTTCTGATTAGTCGTTAATTGTTTAAGATGTCTGGAAGTTGTATTTATCGTTCTCAGTTTATTCTTAATGTAATTAGTGAAATTGTTAACTGAATATTTTATAAGAGCAGTGGACCTGGATATTTTCTCAACGCGCCTCTTGCAGACGTGAGCGATACTGCAGGCTGTCTTTGCCTGCGCCGCATCGTTCTCTACAGAAACGATATTTGCGAACTCAGGAAACCGAGGAAGATCCGGCATGCCGATTATTGAAACATTATTATTTTCCTTACTGAAAAGCACCAGCGGTTCCTGTTCCACTGTTGCTGGATAACCTAAAGCTCTGGCATTCGAGCCAACTTCATCCAAAAATAGATTACTTTTGCAGAGAAGAATTTGGTTTTCAGCTTGAATATCTGTTTGCTCTGCAATATGAGCAATTAGTTGTTCAAAAATGTCATCAGGATGTATGTAGATCTTAATGTTAGTGGCACGATTTATATGGAATATGTCAATTTTCTTTCTCAAAAGAATATTAGTTGATTCATTAAAAAATTTCTCAAAACTCCAAATGTTCTTTTGATCAGCCTCCAATAAACCAGCCAAAAGTGGTGTAACAATTTTCTTCAGACCTGCACTCAATTGACAATTAACTGGCAATTCTCTGCTCCACTCAATGGAACCTTTATCTTCTGTCTGTATTCCAGAGATCACACCACTTGCCTTCTTCGTAGTTATATGGAACATTGTTTCTTTATTCCTTCTTCCTCCATAAGGTCTAAAAGGTAAATTGCCAGTTGCTACATGGTACAATGTTACCCCAATGGACCACAAATCAACAGTGGCCCCAAAAGTTTTACCTTGAGGCTTTCTGAGTACAGCTCTTTCATACATATCTGGATGTAAATATTCCTCAGTGCCATACAAGGAATTGAATTCTTGTCCATCTTGCAACTCTCTTGCAGCACCAAAATCAGTCAGTTTATAGATAGTACTACCGTCATCAGAAATAAATTTCATTATATTACCTGGCTTCAGATCTCTGTGCACCAAGTTATTGTCTCTCAAATGTTTCATTCCAGCTGATAAATGGTCTAAAACTAATAGAAATTCCTTCTCTTCTAAACCATATGTATTCTCAGGATCATCTAAAATATTAAACAGACTGCCACCTGTGCATAACTCCATCACTATGACTTTTCCCCTGCCATCTTGCTGCTCTTCCTCAATCGCAAGTAATTTTACTATATTTTTGTGGTTCACTCTACGCAGCACCTCAAACTCTCTCAATTGAACATCTCCTGGACGCATGTAACTCAGTTGATTGAAAGTTTTCACAGCAACTGGCTCCCCATTTATTTTATTTACACCTTGATAAACAGCACCAGTGGCCCCCTTTCCCAATACACTGGTTGTACACCAAACATAATTCAATGATCCTCTTAGAAAAGACATGATTTATTCTAGAAATAATACTGCTGATATTAAACAAATTTTACAAATAAACATACAAGTTTTACCTAATATGATAGTAATATATTATGTATTAAATATACATATACAATTTCAAACCATTATTAGACAATAATGAAACAACATTTAAGAAATGTGTATCATTTATAAATAAATTACTAATTTTTATATAGTATGTTGACTAATATTACTGGCTACTGATTACTGGTTTGTACGTATTATTATTATAGCCAACAAAAGCCATTCAGATAAAACTAACAGTTAAAATGACATATAATAAAGTTGGTTGCCTATACAGTATATTTAATACAGAGTGTATCATAAAATAATCTCCAATTTATAAAGAGCGAATCATGACTTTGTGAGGCCCTTGGCACAACCTGATTTGGAGGCCCCTTATTAACCCTACTAAGAAAATCATAAACACACTATCGGAATATTCAAGAGACAGTCTGCAACCACAATTACGTATGCCTGTTGCTGACTATTTTCTGTAAATTGTCGCTGCTTATCTTAATTAAAATGCAATAACTTGAAATATAATTAGTTTTTTTATTTATTAGACTAAGTACTAACATTACATTTGTGCAAGCACTATTTTGACATGTTTGTTTATTTAAATTAGAACGTTTTTAAGAAAATGCCTGACCTACAACCTTTGAAATATTGATAACAGATGGCGTCTAGTTATCACAAAAGGGAATGGTTCTTTTTGTCTAAAGTGCAGGCAACCGAACACACACACTTTGATGAACAAATAGAACGTCTTAAATAATGGCCTGTATTTTCATAAATATGAACTCCCATAAGAATGTTATATATGGATATGGATCTTGAATATACACAGATTAAAATTAGAGTAAATATTTGTTTGTAGCTACAATAGTGTCTTCATAATTGATTAACAAACTTTGGTATTTCACGAAAGAGTTGGGAAAAAAACGTCATCGAAAATGGCCTGTATTTTCGTATACACTTACTTTCAGACGAGTTTTGGACATTAATGTTGATCTTGAATATAGAGAGATTAAAATGAGTGTAAATGCAGATTTACCAAATTGTATAGTTGATGCAATAGGAATAATGATGATCTTTGAATATCGGTTGACCGATCTCTGCTACAATCAAACATTGTAGTAAATATATTATGAGAATGGTACCTTTATATAAATAATTACAAAACTGCAAAAAAAATCAGATAAAAATACCCGTTGGGTCAATAATCAAAAGCTATGTACAAATATGAATACAAACAATCAGATATAATAATCAAATATATTAATTTTAAAGTTTAACAACTAATTTCATAATTTCCATGTTCTTTTTTTCGCGTTTTTCTGGGATATCAAGGGTTTCTTGCTTATTTTTTCTTCTTCCTATATTTCTCAATTACACCTAATCAATAATACCTAATTACCTCTGGTTAAAAATTATTAACAATTTGTTCAATTTAGAAAATATTCCGCATCGGTCGCTCGAGAACGCATCGTCTTTTTTCTCCAATTGTTATATAAAGTAATTTTCGTGTTATTAAGAAAAAATGTGAAAACTCTTCGGATCTCAACGAAACAGCGATTTTTAAGAAAATCCAATTCACTTTTTTTTCCAATTTCTGCAGATCTTAGCAGGAGACTCGGTGATAGCACGAAGATGCCAAAAGGCTCGTTGAAAAAGTTAGGTATTCAGCTTTGAATTGATCATGTAATAATCTTAATCGACAACCCCGAGAAATTCACGAAATACTGAAAAAAAAGCAAATAATCGTCTTTTGCCTGTATGTAACGAATATTACGTAACTTTTGTTTCATGAAAAGTTGCGTATGGGTGGCGACCAGTAGCGCATCATGACTTTGTGAGGCCCTAGGTGCTACCTGATCTGGAGGCCCCATATTGACCATACTAGGAACATCTTTTTTTTGCGATTTGGAGGCCTACTTCGCCTATGCGGTAACGCGCCACTGTTGAGGGTATATACATAAGGGGTATAGAGTACTTTAAAATGCATACTGATTATTTGTGTGGTACAAACTGTATTTCACATAACTAATTTGTAAATTAATGTACTTATAATCTAATAAAAATAATTCATTGATTGATTATTATTATAGCATGCATTGATAAAACAATAGTAAAACTGATATTCCTAAACTTATAACCTTTATCAACGAACGAATACTCAACTCGAAACAATTGCATGCATGCAATTGTAGATTGGTATGAAGCAATTGCATCAAGAACATATTACGCTGAAATGAAAAACTTAACAAATTATACATTTAAAATAAAAACGAATACGTACTGCTTCCAAAAGTTCTTCATTATGGTAAAATACATCAAAATTATACATGTTTTCCGCGATGTTTCTCGCCTGAAATACTTGATTTTTAATAACTTTCAATATGCACTCAAATATTTACTTTAGGCTGAAGATATCCTGCAGGAAGCAATAGGATTAAAATAAATGAAGCGTTTTTTAACATTTCCACAGATATATCGGATCCTGCAGTCATTGTGATATATAATTGTATTAATATTTCTATGACATTTATAACGACAATATTGAAGGCAGCCAAACTGAAAACCTGATTAAATTCGCTAATTCCATTAGCGATATACTGAAACATTAATGAAATGTTATCCAATAATTCCAAATGTCTATGGAATTGGTCATCAAATTTTCTGGAAATATGTATCAAGTAATCCAATTTCGTGGAAACAATCATTACGTAGAGACTGATATGCATCGTAGCTAATCCATGAATAATAAACTGCACCAATTCACAAATTGAATTAGTTTTCATGCTCAAGTATTGAACGACGCTGCCATAGATGAATCCATTTAATACCAATATTAGTATATAACACGAATTATAATTGGGTTGATGACTCATGGATGCCATCAATAAATCAAACTTGTATATTTCTTCGTAAGCTGACAAGAAATGCCGCCTATAATACCATAGCAGAGAGTGAACAGAGAAAGCAGAAGTTACTTTAAACACAATCACAAGACTTTCATTGATTGAAGTATCAAAGTACACCATACAAAAGAACAACACTGTAACAAAAAATATTTTTTTTATTTTTACAAAAAAAATAGTTAACAGCACATACAAATTGCAATTACGAAAATTGTTAATGCCTCTTTAAATTCTCTAATTTTGAGACGACGTTTATACACAGAAAACGGTGTCATGCCCACGATACAAGTACACACCTCCATTAAATGTACACATGATAATAGTACATTCCGTCCCATCGTAATCAACCGGAATAAATGATCCTTGCATGTAGCGCATTCAATATTTATAACAGTCAATACTTTCGAGCTCTTATAAAATATGCATTATATGTGTCAAATATTTATTCATAACTATTATAATAAATTATTAAAAAAAAAAAGGTTTGAAACTGACTCGACTATGATTTTATTTAACTGACGAACACGTTTCCTTCGTGTACTCTAACCAAACCGTCTGATCCTCGCTGATGTTTTCCAAACAATACTCTACACCTAAAAAGAAAACAATGAATTAATGAAAAATAAGCAATTGTTCTTACTATAATGTTAAAACAAGATTGGTTGAAAACAAACCTGCAGGTATGTAAAATCTAGTACTTTTTCCCAACAATGCTTGTCTAGTATACACGTGAACCAAAACTTCTCCTTCCAAGATTATAAATGACTGAAACCAATAAAGCATTAGTACCTTTTAATGTAACCTTAATTATAAACTTACCAGATTGCTTTTATGTGCGATTGAAGTTGTTTTCTTGTTCTTCGGCATGATTTTGAAGTGACCGAAGGACAGAGTATTCGTTCGCAACGTCGGAGCTGATAGATTATTTCCTAACTTCTTGAATTCTGGTTTATTAGAAATCCAATCTGCAAGCAAACACGAATATTAATAATTAATAATATCGTAATAATTGATCTTTTTTAAATGTATTTTTACGATTATATGAATTTGTTTTAATTTATATCTGTTTATAATGCATATGAAAATATTAATATTACTGTAATTACCTATCATCTGAGTGCTGCCGGGTAACGTAAATGGAGTATTATTATACTGACATTTGCTCCGTCCGAGTCTCGAAACACCAAGGTTTGAGGTAATTGTTTCATTATCGCCTGGTCCCATTACATTGACTTCATCACACGTCAAAATATTTGTTGCAGTCGTTCCGGCGTCTGACTCAATGATACTCGATAGTGCTGTTTTTACAGATGTTGTATTCGTTTGTGGTATGACCTTACCTTTAGGAACTTTAAATCCCTGAGTATTCAATGAACTAGACGTAGAGAAATTCGCAAGCTCGTCATCATTCAATATATTCTTTGATATATTATCTTCAATACTATTGGCAGGTTTTACTGTTTTAACTTTTTTTGTTTTCGTAGATGACTTTGGCAAAGTTTTTTCTTTTTGTTTCGTTACCCTTTTCGCCCTCGTTTTCTTTGGACTCTTCTGATTTATATCTAAAAAGAAACTTCAATATAAATAAAATGTTGCCAGCTATTTACGAGAATACATACACATAATCTGCATTGAATTAATCTTGGGTGGTTTTCGTATCCTCTTGCCAATTGTCAATGTATCTTCTACTGGTGGTGCATCTAGAAAGTAAAACAAATTTATAATTGGAGCAATTAAAATTATGTATGTAACATACCATTTTGAACGTGTACTTCTTCCTGAACAGTATTGACACTAATATTAGCTTCAGGTGGCATATCTATAAATAAGAATATTTTAATGAATTTTCTCAATTACATAAAGTAATTAAAATTATGTTTATATTGTGCTCATAGCATACATACTAGTTTCGGATGGATTTTGCTTCGTATCATTTTTATTTGAAACATTATTGGTACACTTGGCTGCAACTATTAAAATCAGAAATATAATATTATACAAATTATGAATTAATATAATATACATACTTTCTTTTGTTTTTGCCGGTTTTTTCTTTGGAACATTTTTAGTAAATATCTTCTCTACAGATTTACCTACAATAAATAAATATAAAATTTAGTTTTATTAAATACATAAATTTAAGTACACAAATAGACGAAAGAAATGTATTTTTTAATTAATACAGACATTTAACGTAGAAATTCGGTACACAAATTACCAAGATATTAAAGACTGGAATTTATGAGGACTGCTTTCAAACGCTGATTATTAATGTTTATAAATGAAACGTGATGAATAACTAACTATAAACAAAATGTATTATTTTAACTTGCCATTTTCAGTTGGTAATGGATGTTTTCGAGGTCTCCCTCTTTTCCTTTTAACTGGTATGTCCGATGCAGTTTCCTCAACGTTTCCTATGTGATTGTTGATGTTCACTGAATTTATACATTCACCCACCACTGAATTAAAGCGTTCGTCTGTTCGTCTGCCTACATCAATATCATTATGCGTTTGTGATGGATTGGTTTTAGATTTTCTTATTTTTCTATTAACTGGTATGTCCGATGCAGATTCCTCAACGTTTCCTGTGTGATTGTTGATGTCCATTGAATTTACAGATTTATCAACCACTAAATTAATAGGTTCGTCTGCCGACAGACCTTCAGCAATATCATCGTGCGTTGATGATTTATTGGTCTTCGATTTTCTTATATTTCTATTAACAGGTATATCCGATGCAGTAACATCATCGTTCTCTACCTGATTGTTTTTGTCCATTGAATGTATAAATTCATCAACCACTGAATTAATTCGTTCATCTGCGGACAGACCTACACCAATATCTTGATGTGGAGTCTTATATAATTTTCGTAACTCTTCCAATTCATTATCCAACTCATTTAATTCTGTAGTCTTTTTATTTCTACGTTTTTTTGCTTTGCTGACATTTTCTGGTTTGATGGTTACATTTTCTAATATATAAATTGTTGGTTCCTTAGGTTTTACTTTTCTTCTTGATCTTTCATGGACTACATTGCTATTAGTCTTAGATAAATCTGCCAATTCTGTGATACCGTTGACAGACGTAACAGCCGATTTGTTCCTGGATCTAGTGAGAATTTGATTTGAGCTATCAGACGTCTTTTCTTTAGGTATAGAAACGTTATTGCTTTCAGTAGAATTCAATGGTTTTGTAGGCACCTCCTCATTATCTAAATTTAATCTTGCTCTATTCTGAAATAAATTAATTTTCACAATATCCATTTGCAAGCTCTTCTGTGCATTCGTTGTAATCAGACTAGGAGTTTCATGTATATTTAAGTTGTCCACATTAAGTTTTTCATTTTGTACAGTTTTATTGCGTTTCGATGGAGAAACAACAACGTCTGAATCTGTTTCAATGTTGGTGGCTTTAACTTTTCTTCTCAATTTCTTTGTTCTCACATCCTTCATCACTCTGATGCTCTCTTCAGCAGATGCTTCATACATGGATGGATTTTTCACAGATTGTTCTGCATTACTAGCACAGGTATTATTCATCTCCTTTGCAGGTGGAGGCATCATTACATTTGACGTATTATTGATAGGTGCAGATGTGTTAGTTGCTGTTGTTCTGGTTAATCTTGTAATCATTCTAGGTAAGCTATCTCTTTTAAGCGTTGTATTAATAGCAATAGATTTTTGAATTCGTTCTGAATGTACATTACAATTATCGATATTATTAACATGGAGACTATTATTTTTTCGCCCACCATTCATAATAATATTTCCACGTATATTTGAGTTCCTTTTATTCTTCGAAACAGGATTATCTGTTAAACTTCGTGAAACGCGTTTCTTATAATTATTCAGTGTTTTAGTTATAGGTGAACAGTTTATAGGTGTTATCGTTGATTTGGTACTCTTCCTGAAAGCCACGGGTGTACTGCACGGAACACTAGTAGCAGAATTATCATTTTCGATTAAGCCATGAAATCGCTTTTTCAATGCAGACTTCGATAATTTTTCCACGCTGTACTCCCTCACCACCTTAGGGAACATTTTATCCCTATTCCATCGCCGATTCTAATGGGACAGAAAAACAAAGTACTCAATTAGATTAAAAGCACATAAAATCAATAGATCATAGATTGTTATGAATCCATTCAGAACTCACCGAGATGTCTAAGCAAATATCCATAAAAATTAGAGATTCTCTCTACATCTTGGAATTTTTTCGCGCGCTATGCACATTCCCGGTCAGTTACGACGAGAAAAGTAATCAATTTGTGAACCAGAATAAACTGAATTTATATTACCTTATATCATCTATAACTATTTATACATCGTTTTGCTACACAATATACTTTTTGATAGCGTCTGTGGAGGTAAGCACAGTCAGAGTATGGACATCAATTATTATCAAAATCATTAGAGTACTGATGGGCATTAGAAACGTAATGATATGCTTCAGCAAACGGCAAAAAATTGTAAATTTTTTAAACTGGTTGACAACATTCGACACGAAGCTTTATAAAGCAGGAGTGAGCATGGATTTTCGGTAATTAGTTTTAAAAATAAAATAAGACAATGTATAATGTATCTTTTGCTTATAGATCAATCAAGTATTTAATGATTATTAGGAGCTTCTTCATAACTTTAACAGTGACAGTGAACCCAGTGGTATGCACGTTAAGTAGACAAGACATGAACATCTGTTTTGAACATTTCATAAGTTACAATCTGACATTTATTATCAACTCCATGATTATGCTGCAGTTCTCAGTATATGTTTTTATTCTCTGGCAGAGATTAAGGGTTATAAATAACTCCATAACAAATATGGTGACAAATGGCAGTTTGAGTTTCACAAATGATAAATACCCTCCAATACTTTACAAGAAACAAGAGATGGACACGTTGCTGAAGCTATTATGTGCTATGCATAACGAAATTTGCAATAATGCAAAACTGTTGAATGAAATATTCTCAGAGGTCATTCTTCTAACTATAATCAAAACATTTGCAGACATATTGAATGGCCTACACACGCTAAGCTCTAAAACTCAATTAATATTAATTATATTTGATTGTTCTTGGGGAGTTGCACTACTGATTGAAGTGGTCTTCATTTTGATACCTTGTACATCAACTAGACATGCTGTATGTATCATTGTTAAATGAAATTCAATAATTACAAGAAACTACTCTTTTCTAGTCACAAAGAACTGCAGAAATTTTAAATATGATGGATGTTTCAAGTGACAAAAGTCTAAAGTTTGAAGTGAGTTGCTTAGTGATACAAAAGATATAAATTATGTAATTTATTAAATTTATAGCGGGAAATGTTTCTACTTCAAATGATGCATCAGAAAATTAAATTTACTGCAAATGATTATTTCCCTTTAGATGAAACTGTATTTATAATGGTAATAGTAAATATAGAATATACAGTCTTTTTTTTTATAAATACAATTATTTCAGATATTTGGCACCTCCGCAAGTTATTTAATAATTTTAATGCAATTTGAGAGTATTTCTTTATGAATACTTACAACCAAATTAGGGTTGGAGTCTTCTTCTGATGATGTATCTGATGGTAATATTGGTAAGCTCGTAGTCGAATCCATATATTCTTGTTCATTTCTGAAAATTAGGTGGATGAAATTGGATACGAAACTCAAATAAATATACATATATGTGATAGGTTACAACTTGTTGCAACTAATTGTGGGAAAAGATAAATGCACAAACTTACTGTAAATTGACTGGTTCTGTATAAAGATCTGGTAATCTATCCATTGTTAACTACACTATTTTACATTAATGTCACTAATAAATTAATTATAAACACAAATATTTCTAACAATAGCCTTCAAAATATGCCCAACGTATATTTCATAGTTGTAGATGGCGCTTCCGATTCATTTTGTTTTACTTGTATGAAAAACTATATACTAAAGAAGCCATAATGTTTGGCACACTTTTTGATTAAACATAAAGCTAAACTTTTTTTACTACTTCATTAATTTATTGGAACACATTACTCTTAGGTCGAAAATTGGAGGGAACAGTTGTTGTTGTTGCTACTAACTATGAACATTTACTGCTGATAGATGGCGCAAAATATATCCATTAGTCTCTACACATTACATCATACCTGGTTGCATAACTTCTATTTTTTAAATTATAACTGTTCGGTATTTTTAATACCCCCAATGGATTATTTTGTGGACTGATTTAAAACTCACTAACTTTTATTTTGACCCAGATGGCTTTAATTATCTACTTTAGGGTATAACACAATTATTTAAAAGACAGGACAAATAACTGTTCAATCTTCCTAATCCTGAAAAAAAAGTGCTTGTATTAACGAACAATAAACCAGGACAAGAATCACTCAAGGAATAATCGTTTATTGGGCTATGATTTAAAGTGTATTTGTTAATCAATATGCATTTACATTATTTGTTTACTTAATTCCATGCTTTATTTAGTAGTAGAAACAAGGACTCATAATATCATCGTGATTCTAATGGTTAAGAGTCTTAACTCTAATTAACAACTATAAATAGAATAATTTATAAGTTTACCATTTTGAAACTTGCTGACCCTATAAAATGCTCTAGTTAGAGGATATTATGATTCTCTATTTCAGTACTGCTGGAGATTAAATTAAGACAGATTAAATTGTCAATCACATTAACATGTATAGAGGAAAATATTTAAAATAAAACAATAAATATTCATTAATAATATTTTTATTATCTTAGAGCTATGTGTATAATACAAAAAAAAATGAAAATGTGTCTAATAAAATATAAACAATGCCTTCTGATACCTTTTCAATTTTTTTTCAACAAGTCCGAACATATCTAATGTTCGCCACAAAAGTTTGTTAATAATCAGAACAAAATGTGTATAATAAAAAAATATATGCAATAGAAAATATTTGTTTAAATAATTTGCTCATTGACGCGATGTGGCGTTATCGAGAAAGAAAAAAAAACAGGAATGTGTACATAAAAGAAGTAAATAATTACACTTAGAAGAGTTTTAATGAATTTTCATTTTTAAAGATAAATTTAATATTAAATTTAGATTCAAATATGGCAGCGTCGATTGTTGGGACTGGGGTGGTACAATCCTAGTTGTGCGTTAAATCTCCATTACAAAAAGCCCATAGAAATTTCATAAAATTTAAATATTCATGTATAAATTGGAAAGCCTTCTTGTTTCACACAAATAATAATAAATACTTTGTTTTTAATATATAAGTGATATATAAAAATTTGTTCCAAATTTTTGTTTTGTTTTACAAAGAGCGCAAATGTTAAAAGAGGAAGAGATAGAGAGAAATAGAGTGATAAATTATAACTTATTCAGTCTGGATATTAAAAAAATATTCAACATTTCTCATTTATGTACATATCTTGTGATATTTTTTTATGTACAAAAAAAAATCTAAACCAAATAATAATAATCAAGCAAATACTCATCGTATAGTCGCGATGTTAACGTCACAAATCATTGTAAAAGAAATGTATGATAAAAGTACGGGGATCGATGAACACCACCCACCCAACCCATCTGATCAGTGATAATGGACGTCAACAGCGTTCCGCAGCCAATCAGCGGGCAGGTGGGCGTGGCCTCAGTAGGCGGAGGCTTCCTTGTACTCGGAATTATCCATAGTGAAAAAATCTTCAAGCTTCCATTGAAGAGTCTCAAACGTCGGCCTCTTCAATGGATCTCTATGCCAACATTCAATCATTATCTCGTATAGTGGACTTGGGCAATTCGGAGGTGCTGGCATGCGATAGCCATGTTCAACTTGATGAAGCACTTCAGCATTTGTCATACCTGTAAGAAAATCAAAATAGTTAGCAATTTGAGCCGTGAGAAAACGGATTTAAGAAAATTGATTTACCTGGATATGGAATACGGCCGTAAGTCACCAATTCGGTAAGTAAAATACCGAACGACCAAACGTCAGATTTAATGGAGAATTTACTGTAGTTTGCAGCCTCTGGTGCTGTCCACTTGATTGGGAATCTAGCGCCCACCCGTGCCTCATATTCATCCTCCTAAAAGCAATACAATATACAAATGAAAATATATTCAAAAAACACAATCGTTGATACCTTCTTATAGGAAGAGACAAAGAGTAATAATCAGGACATGCAGGTTTTTCTAAAAGGATTATGTTTGATAAGGTATTTGGGATGGATTTCTATTAAAGATAGACTTACTTTAATCAATCTGGCTAGACCAAAATCAGCAATCTTGACAACGTTGCTATCGTTGACGAGTACATTTCTGGCAGCCAAATCTCTGTGGATGTAATTCTGAGATTCCAAGTAAGCCATTCCAGACGCTATTTGAGCGGCCATATCAATGAGCTGCGGTAGCTTCAAGCCTTTTCCCTTTCCTTGCAAGAACTCTAAGAGCGATCCATTCTTCATGAGCTCGGTAATAATATAGATAGGTTCTTCCATTGTGCACACAGCATACAGCTGAATCAATTTCGGATGTCTCAACTTTTTCATAATTTGCGCTTCCGCGAGGAAATCTTTGGCATCCATGGTGCCAGTCTTCAATGTCTTTATGGCCACCGGGGTCGTATTGTTCCATTGTCCTTCCCATACTTCGCCGAACTGGCCCTGACCCAACTTCCGTTGGAATTTCAGCGATGACCTGTCGATCTCCCACTGGTCACGCGTCCTGTGCGATAGACCTTCCGGCTGCGGCTTTTCCACCTATGACAACAAATCGCAAACACAATCAGACACGTACGCATTTCAATCGGCTCAAGGAACTTTCACTAAAATATTTGGAGGGCACCACCTTTTGTTTTAAACATTAACAACATCCACTATTTAATTATAGAATATAACTATAAAGGTGCTGCCATCTAATACTCCTCTAGATTAACCACTAGATTGGCTGAAGAGGTGCAAGCTATTCTTTATAGTTGATGAGATAATGTGTTATTAGTGCAACGATTAGAACTAAAAGGAACATACGAAACAACAACAAAAAGAAAAGACATCAACAATCAATCGAATCTATTATGGGTTTACGTGAACAGTTATGTTATTGATGTTAACGACAATGTAAAATGCATTCAATAATACATTCAGAAAGATGGGACTCATGTATCAGCAAAATAAACAAATCTGATCAGACATACCTCTGATAGCAAAGGATTCTGCACAGAAATAAAAAAGAAAAAAAAAGAAAGATAATATGTTCGTTAGTTGGTGAAGGAAACAACAACAAGAGATTGTTTCGTTTAATGAACTTAAAAAGTAAATTGAAAAGCTGAAATTTCGTAAAATAAATAGAAAGCGTAAACAAGGGAATACTTACTTGTACACAGGGCTTGCACAAGTTGACACATAAACCATCCGCATCCTTGCTGTAATGCTCAACAAGCTCTTGCAGCGTTCGGAAAGTTGTTCGTCTCGCAATAAAGAAACCACCCTCATCCAATTGCCTTATCCTATAATGCTTTACGGTATCTCCGTCTCTCACTGAAACATTTTGCAATGATACAAATATTTAATAAAAAAATTAAAAAATAAATAAATAACGTGTGAATTAATTGAATTAATTAATAATTAACAAAACGCACCTGATAATGAGTAATCGTTGTGTCTGCTCTCTGAATCCCTGATGAGGAAAGCACCGTGTTCGTTCTCAGGCAGCAGCAGTTTCTTCTCGGCCTCTATTCGTTTGATCTTCCGGAAATACCAGCTGAAAAAGGGAAACGAAGGTCCAACATTACAATTTGCATTCACGCACAGGATTAATTGTGTTTCTATTCGTATACAGTGTGAATGAATGAAAACTGGAATGGAATGGCGATGGAGTGTTGCGACATGGTGCAGGCAGGCAGACCGGGGCCCACGGTAAATATATTCTAATGAACAATTAAAAGTGAGAACGCTTAATAAATAATGTATGTAAGGACGCGACTATATTCAATGAACATTATTTATCGGGAAGAAAGTTTCTAAATAAACAATTACGAACGGATAATCCGCAATGCAAACGATAAATTCATCAAATGCATCATTTCAAGATAATCGTTTTGCTTGTCAGTTAGATAATAAAACATTAGATCGACTTAATCAGTATTCTATTGTATTAATATATATATAGAAGAAAAAAAAGAGAAATATTTAGTGTGCAATGTTATTGGTACAATTTAACACAAGGCTGAAGGATTATGGCGACACGACTTTTGTAATCGCGAGGATATACTATACATTTTTATCGTAAATAAAATACGCCCAGAGAAATAAATAATTCCAGAGCACAGAACTTAACATTTTTAAGACCTAGAACGAATATAATAATAATGCCGACACACTTGAAGATTTAATGAAATAAATCTTCTTTTTTTCTTCTTCTCCACAAATGAATAGTCGTATTTATTGCAATTGCTTCGCCGATGCACAATGTTCACTTTAATTAGCAATTTATTTAATGAACTTAAAAGCAAATGCAATTCCGCTCGATAGCAAATTACCACGGGTGTTTGTATATGTTCATATCTATATGTTTATATATGTGTATGTGTGTGTTATATAACATAACGCGAATACCGTTGGATTAAGTTTTTTTATTTGAATGGAAATCTCGGCGGTTCCGTTTCAACCGGAAAATTAATTAGCAAACTGGGATTAACACATTTACGTTCGCATTATATTTAATATCTGAAATACAATGGCATGGCACATCTGTTTTTCGCCCGAGACACGAAGATATGGATTACCGAATGAATTATTCAGATACAGACGGCTGTGGCATAACGTAACATTATTAACTGTATGGTAACGCCACGCACGTTGTCATAAATCAAATGAAATGAACAAAACGATTTTGTTTTGTTTCTTTCTTCATTGTTTTTGCTTTTTAAAGCTCTTAGCAGTTTTAAAATTAATATATTTATAGTTTTCAATTAATTTAAAGATAAACAGTAATAAATAATATGATATAATATATTTGCATTTAGTAGTGTAATTATAATTTCTATTGGTATGTCCAAAGTATTATTAGATATTTAATAAAATGTCATCAAAACCATCAACATTACCAATGACTAATGATATGAATTAATTTAACGTAACATAATATTAGTAAATACCTGTGTTCATTTACATAGAAATCTTAAAATTAAGGTTGAACAATCAAAATTCCAATGATTTTTTATATAATTGTATAATTCACTAATCGTGAATAGTTAAATACATTTACCAATCAATTAATAAAGTGATATTTCTTGAGCAAATTCGAAAACTTGTAAAATTGCCAATTTGTACGTAGACGTAGACGTTGTATTGGGTTTTAGAATTGCTAAAGCGGGATTCACCTTTATGAATATATTTTACAATAATTGTGTAATCACATTATGCGGCAGCAATGAGTAAACATACTCATTCTCATCGGGAAAATATATTTATTGGAGAAAAGATCATAATTAAAATTAGCATTTGGCGTGTGTGGATATTGCGCAAAAGACGAATTTGCATCGGGTAACCGATTTTCAAGTGGCACATGCAGTTTTCACGGACGATTTTCCGGCCTCCTCACGCACAGACACGTCGCCACATCTCCTCCATTCATATGCACAATTATGTAAACATACATATAGCATAGAGAAGAGCAAGTTATAAACCGGTCACTATGCTAATGCTCCTTCCAAAGATGTTCTCTAAATACACATCCTTATCTTCTCTGTACACGGCACGGTTTTGCCTCTCGCGCATTCGCCTTACATAAGTCCTTTTTTTATGAAAGTGAAATTCCTGTTTTTCCGCACATACCCACACATATACACTCAGCACGACCATTGTGCAATTATTCTGTAATTATCTATGTAATCCTTCCGTTTTTTTTTTGTTGCTTCCTTTCTCGTGGAGGACAACGTCCAACGAATTTATACCAATTAGTATTTCGATCTGGACGTTAAAAAGATTACGAGAATTACCTAATACTTTCTAATATAGAAAAATCGATCGATTCGCTTCCTACCTAAATCTTATGTAAATAATTAAACGATTTCTTCGGAAGGCCATCAAACGACCTTTGGCGAAGATGCATTGATACGGATTGATGAATAACTCTATTTTCGGCATTCCAACAGCGAATCCTGACGAAGGATTACATAATTTCGAACGACGCAATGATAATTAGAGAATTCCGCGAAATCGATTAGTTGGAACAGCCGTAAACGTTGATTTATAGTCCAAATTTCTAATATTGAAAAGTGGAGCAGACCTGTGCTCTCGTCGTGGGCATTTAGGTGTGCTCATTCGGAGGATCAAACAGGACGTGTAAATAAGAGAAGAATAAAAGGAAAGAGTCGAATCTGCTTCGGCTACGCTCACTTCTTTGTTTTAAACAAACAGTTCTAACCCGGTGACTTATCTTCCTTCGTTCGATTTCCGAAGAATCTAGCCTCTCTTCCGCCGACTCTCCTCGCTTCCATATTTCCAATTGTTTGTGACCTTAATCATGCATCAATGCAGTCGGCTTTTTACCATGTACGTGCGAAAATCGTCACGGCTATAAACACAACAGGACAATTTCAAATTTTGTAAAAATAAAAACATCGATTATCAACAATCATAGGAACTCGTATACTCGTACTAGATAAACCATAAACATCGATTTAAAACACATTCACTTTCATATCGATAAAATTCTTTGAGAATTCTCAACATAAATGATAACTGTTACATTTTTTTTTATCATGTTTATATAAATGTGCATTCGTGCTGCGTTATGCAATAATGCGTTGATTTATTAAACAAATCATATTATAAAATGTACATATTTTAAAGACCTCGCAACGTATTACAATGATCTTATTCATGTGGAACCCGACAACTGTTTTCTATGCGTGTGGGTTAATAATTTCAAATAGACAATTGTTTTCTTTCGTCGTTCACTTTTATTAATATTCAGAACCGCCAGATTGTTTTAATGAGATATAATCAAGAGAATGATTCACATTGTGTACGTTGCTGGTTTTATTATTGTAACTTCGTTCGAGACATGCCTTATTGGACGGTAGTACTATATGTGTGGTTTATAGCTTTATTTGCTCACCCATAACCTTTGTTTAAACACAATGGCAACAATAATCAATATCAATAATTGATATGACCGCAACTCCTAATCCGATATCTTTGTTTTCGCGGTGATCATTAATAGCACAAATATTTTTCTAACCATTGATGGAAAGTATTTATTTATTAAGTTCTTAAAAAAAAACTATAGCGAAAGCTTTGTAATCAATTTTTTTTATTTCCATTAGAACATAAAACAGAAACCTAATTAATGTGTGTTTACAATGTTGCAATTTTAATTAGGTTTCATTTGCGGTCAGTTATGTAATTCGCAAAAAAAAAATAATTTTAATATTGGAAATTTTATAAATAGTTTTGTAATTATTTCAGTAAATTTATCGTAGAATCTAGAAATTATTGTTATAACCTTGTTTATAAATGATTATATGATATTGATTTATGTAATCGGAACTTGACTTAAGTTGTCATCTTACATTTAACGCACAACCTTGATAATATTTTGAAAAGGAATATCCAACGTAACGAGCTACTAATAACAGCGATTAACCTAATCGGAAGATACAATTTAGTGATAGAACAATACGTGCTGCTCTATGCAATGGAAAAAAGGAATTTGTTTGATAATCGGAAATAGACAATCGAACTAAATTATCAAATTATCGAACAAATCAATTAACCATTAATTCCAGAACGATGAGGCTAAATGATGATTCAACCGGAAAAATATTGTTTTCAATTGGAAAACCAATAACAGTTATTAAGAAATCGGAAACCAGGAGTTTTTATAATAAACTGCTTGTATACAATTTGTGACTTGCAGAGGTTCAAACTGCGAGCAGTTTTATTAGGCGATAAAAAAAAATCTGATTATAAATTTCTCTTGCGATGTTAATCTTTGTTTTAATATATGTGTTAATAGCCAGTAAATTTAGTGTCCACGGAGCACGACCGCAATAAAATGTTTTTTAATACATCACTAAAATTTGTGACCAGATTTCGTACGCAATGAAATATTGTTTTCATCGATCGTATCGTATTATCAACTGATTGTAATGGAAAACTATAAGTTAATTAATGTCTTCGGAAATAAAACCTCACTCGGTTCTTGACCTTCCGAACAGAAGTTTCTATTTGCAATGCATTATTGCATAATAAATTATGATTTTCTTTGTTTCTGATACTTTTCTGATATGTTTCTGATACTAGATAGTAAGACAACATTCGATGATTGCTGAATAACATTTTTTTTTATATTTATGAAGTAAAACTTTAAAATAGATGTGGTCGTGTTGTTAGAAATGGGAACCATTTGCTGATGGTTTTCTGGAAAAGCACAATGTACTCTTTAAATGTGTCTTATTTAATACAATTATGGCATGTCGAAACCAGTTATCAGAGCCATCAGATGCTCGCACGTCAGGTTTATAAATAGCGCACATGCACCTGCCTCACAATCTTGGCGGAGGTAAAAATAAAAAGTCGTGAGGCGCCAAAAGGTAAACCAAGTTCAAGTTCAGTTGCCCTTAAGTACGGCGAGTCGAAAGAAAAGCTCCTCCGCCGTTCATTTCGTTTCATTTTATCGAAGCGAAGGTAATCCAAACAGAAATTGCAAACCCTGTCTGATTGGTGCACGTTACCAAACGGAAGTTGATTAAACCGACTTCCTTTCGACCTTGGCAATAATTTATACTTTATTATTTATATACATACATATTTTATGGGGATGTTTATTTTATAAACAGCGTTATAAAATGCCTAATTGTTCGCATTTTTCATTTCCATCGGCGTCTTTCTTTTGCAACTATTTTCATTCTTTGTACTCGAACAAAACGTAATTGCGTTTCTAATTTATTTACTTATCTTGCATCACGAATTAAAATGCACAATTACAATTTACGTGAAGCCGGGCGGCGTCAAAGAGCGTCTTCGTATGTTTGTTTCTTCTGTGACATTTGCATGATGCACGCAAATATTTGGGATGAGACGCATTCGCCTAAATGAGCATAATAATTGGATAACCCCAGGCTACGCGTTAACCCGAGGATGGGGGCCACCAAAGCTCGGGCGTTTACAGTTGGTAAATGTGCTAATTCGTCAATGAACAATCAATTATGAATGCGGCATGGGTTACAGCCTTGCATGCTTGAATCGTGTATTATCAACGGCTCGGCAATGTATAATGAACAGAAAGTTTTTATAAATTGTTTCACTTTTTATTAAAAAACATACAACAGCAATTTATTTGTTGATGTTTACTGAGCGAAAGCTACACGAAACCGCTGCAACAAAAGTAGCGTTTGGCCTCCATTCTTTCTTCTTCATTTTTGTTTTGTTTTGTTTTGTTTGCTGCTGCCTCTTCTCCTCCACGATAATCTATTAAGCATCTTTCTCTCCTCTCGTCCCTGTTGGACGACAAGCCGACAGTCTACTAGTAATTTTACGATCCATAAAATTTGTATATTTCTTCTCGCCGCGGCGGAGGAACGTTGGAAGAAACAAGGCAACCGCGATGAGTAAAATAGCGTTCGCCATTGATTCAATTTATTTATACGCGTTTTATACTAATTTTGTAAAGAATTTACTGGCGAAATGAAATTATGGCCAATTGAACAAACTGGAATTGCCATTTAGGTGTAGCTTTATATATGTTGCTTTGTGCGATCGTTTAATGGTTCTTATTATAATATTTACAAGCAATCATTTATAACATTTTTAGAAAGTAAATCATTCAGCGACAAACGCATTTTCTCAGACGGCTCGTATAAAATTTATATTAAAAAAAATATAGTAATATAAATGGAACATTCTTCGGGTTCAACAGATTCAAAAAAAATGGCCTTGACATTAATTTCTAGCGCAACAAAATTGGTAATGATATATTATGAACTTGGAAAGTATACACAAATTAATTAACATAATTTATTTTGTTTCTGCAACTAACTTATATATTGTTTCCTTCAGAAGTGTTTTTTTTTTAACCATGATATATGTTAATATCGATTGATAAATATTAATATTATTAGTAAAAGAAATGAGAAACAAATACTCACTCGGAGAATGCAAAGAAATGATTACAAAAACACAATTTACTTTTTAAGTAACACTAAGCTATTTCAATTAAAAGTTATGCAATATGTTTTTTTTTTCTCGTCTTATTATTGACGTACTTTCTACTGGCAACAAATACAATCTCTGAAATAAATTAATATGACGTCGAGTGTCATTGCTGGGGGATTCCCAGTCCGATACTCAAACCTTCAACTTCATTCCGATGTTTTAAAATATTTCCCCAGATTCTCGGTATTTCGTATTCGCTTCAAAAGTTTCAAGTGAACGCAACAACAAACAAAATTAGGTGCAGGCAAAAGGCAGGAAGAATGATATTACAAAGAATGCACGGCTAACTGTAAATGATATGCGCTTATGCAGATCTGAGCATTTTTCCTCCTCTAGTTGCGCATTAATTAAATAGGAATATGTTTTATGTAATGAGAAAAATATGTGCGCTTCGAATGCACGTATAAGGAAAGTACACCTATTTTATTTTAATTGCATCCACCCAAGTATCGACTCGTTCTTCTAGTTATCCAGACTATGTATTCTTACGTTAACTTAAATACCCATTAAATTGAACAGTTTGTGGTTCATTCAGTTTAATTGCGGCGGCGATTTATGTAATCATTAACGCCGAATTTATGGATGCACAAATTTGATTAATTGCAACTTCGTTTATATATGAGTTTGCTTCGTTGGTAAAATTTGAAAAAAAAAAATTAAGGTGCAATTATAACAGTATGAAACGTGTTCTAAATTACACAAATCTATAATAAGTTTACAATTGAGGTGTAATATTATAAGGAGGAAAGAAACATTGATGTGTGCTTGAAGTGGAGCGTTCATTTCGCAAATTTACTGTTAAGGCAGACATAAATCATTAAAATGCAGCTCGAGAATGTGTTCTCGCGGGTTTATAAATACACTCGCACGCATACATACGTATATGCTATATATGTGTGTGTGTGTGTGTGTGTGTGTGTGTATACAAGTATACATGCTCATGGCAAAATGAGAAACAGGAACGCATCGCGCCGTGGCGCCATCGTGTCCGCAGCTTTCAAATTAACTGGAAGAAATAATTCTCATCTCGTTTCTCCTACTTACGGTTGCACGTAGAGGTGTCCATAAATCTCGGATCCTGAACTCAACTTCCTGGTGTTCCTGGCCCAGGCTTCGCGTTGCTTCTGCATGCGCTTCTCCAACTTCTTGGAACCGATATTCTTCTTGAGCACGTGCTGCCAATGTGATGGACTACTCTCATCGCTTTCGGAACAGCTCGAATTGGACGTAACGCTGCTTTTGCGGCTGTTGACATTCGAGATGGACGATTTGCGACTGGACGAGGAGTTCGGTGAAGAGGACTCGAAGTTGCGGATCGAAGCTGCGCTAGACTTGCGACTGGAGGAGAAGAAACCGCTCGACTTGCTGTCCGACTTGCAGGTCAGACTTGACTTACGACTGTCCGTCGGTGATGACTCCGGTATCGTTGTGTTGTTGCGCGTCGAAAAGTTCGGAAGACTGCACCTTCGGATACGTGGGGGTGATGAGATGAACCTCCGATTCTGCTGCTTCAGCCACCTGAGAACGTGCTCGTTGCGTTCGTTGTCCTCGTGCTCGTCAAGTCGGAGATCATTGCAGTTTTCGTATAGCTTCTCGTCGATTGGATAAAAGCTAAGCTTTCGGGTGCGCTTCGGACTATCGTTTACATTTGTACTTGCGTCAATGGCATTCAGGATATCGTTATCCAGGGCATCTCGACTATACTTGCAATACTTCTTGAGCAATTTTATCACCAGTTCATCACTTTGCGTTGAATATTTCCTAACAGTCTTACTTTGACAATCGTCAACTAAATTAGTTTCAGTCTCTGCATTTAATAAATTATTATCAATAAATACATTCCTATCATCTAATACATTCGAGTCCTCCTCGCTATTCTCGAATTTGAGTGTAACGACCTGAGATTCCGCAGCGTCCTGCTCGGGAATCTTGTCCAGACCTTTGCCTCCTCCGCCGACATCCTCACCACTGCCACCGCAACCGTTCAATATTTGAATAAGTCCGTTCTCCTGAATCACTAAATTTTGCCACTGCTTTTGCTTATTGTTCGACAAATCGCACGCAGAATAATCCTTATCTAGTTTTATCACATTTTCTCTAATTATATTGTTGTTAAAGTTCGAATCCAGCTTTTCACCACCGCATATCACCGTTGTTGTCAGATCTCCTGGCTTAATCTCGAGCTTTCCCTGCTGATGCTGGATGAGCAGCTCCTGCTGGTGTTCCGTGATCTCTCGGAAGCCATTGTCTTGCAGGATAAGCTGCTTATTCGCAACGCTCTGTAGGAAATCTGATATCGCCGCCCAATGCGCCTGTGTAAGAGCACCGTGCAATCTGATAGAGCTCAATTGAAGAGGAATCCATTGGTCACCCTTGCAGCACCAAACCACACCTGACGACACCATGTTTCAACCAAAGTCCGCATTAAAATTACTGTCGGTGCTCCACCATGTGCAATAAACTTCCGCTCTGGAATCGATTGTCTATCTTTTCTGTTCTGTCAGATTTAAAATAAAGCCGCAATTAAATGACATTGTTTAATTATTATATAGTTATTGGATTTTCGAAACGAATGGAAAATGCCACGATAGGATAGGTGTGCGTTGTTGTTCCTCCTCTTCGACAGACGCACCTCTTTTTTTTTTGTTTTTTAATAAATGCTCACACAACAGCAGCACGAAGAAGGAGCCAAATATTTTCACTTTTGCAGAAACCCAAAGATTCAATGAGAAAGTTATTGGTTCATTAGAATATATATTCATACGTTTTACATATGTGTATATCTTTCTGTGTGTGTGTGTGTGTGTGTATAGATATACTAGCAATTTAAAATTTAAATGCATGTTACGTTGGGAGGAGGAGGATAGTCTGAATGAAGTGAAACAGGTCCGGACGCAAGAGTGTGCGGTCCCCACAAGATGTAAGACGATACAAAACCGGTACACAAAGAATTTGAAAGTTTTTTTACGACAATTCGCAGGTACTGTTAGAAAATTATTTCTTCATCAAACTAGAACATGCAAGAAACACCAGCGAGACTATAAATAAATATAGATACAGCTTATGTACATACAGTATTCCGTATAAAGGATGTAACATAGTCTCGTCTAACGAACGGTATTTCGCAATTATTACTTTTTATAGGTAGATATTCTGCAGGACTGCACTCGATTCTATATTTATAAACAGACGGGCACAAACGATCCTTATAAGGAAAGAAATGATAGAGCGACGCTACCCTAACTATAACGCAACCATAACAAAACCATTTAACTTCTTCAGCTACTACAACTGCAGCGGATGGCAGCGATTAATGGACTCACAGATTGAATTTTAAATTGAAGCATACATTCAAAGAAAGAGAAGCGAACGAAGGAGGGAAAGAACGAAAGAAGACTATATACATGTATATAAAAAAAACAAACACAAAGTAGACTTTTGAATAAACCTCAATCGATCACTTTTGGGTCATCCGAATTGGTTCACTTTCAATTATACAACGAGATCGCGCACGCCTCTATTATTACAATGCATGCACGAAAATGTCACCAAATCGTCAATACTACTATTTTATTGATCAACCATCCACGTTATTAAAGCATACGAACACACACTGAATACTGTATTAACATAATCCGACATTTTTGCATTGTAAATCAGCAGCGTGTGAGAATAAAAGTTTTCGCAAGCAAAGCAACAACGTCTGTCTCTCCTTTCGCAAAACACACACCAACCTCTCTTCTTCCACTGCCGCTCTATGAAACACCATGCGAAAAAACAGTAACAGCAGCGTACTTACTACTATTAACAATATAATAAACAGTAGGGATAAAGCATTCGTGAATCACCGAATTATTTGTTTACATTCAAACGTGAATAGCGAGCAAACTTTGTTGGTGCTGTTTGGCTGAATCAGTTAATTAGGCACGGAATGCTTACAAGCGAACGAGATTATGTTATTTTTATTGCACGTCCTGGTGAAATTAGGAAGTAATTTGTGCAGGTAAACATTGTTTCTGAAGATGGCGCGGCATTCAATATTTGTCGTCGATTCTCTTGTACAAATTCAAACAATACGTTTGACCGTGCATTTCTTTCACTTTGCCCATGCCTACATATTACTTGCATACAACCAGCATTCATATCTTGAAGTACAAACATTTACGTAATCTCCTATGAATTATAAATATTTATATGAACGCATTCGAAACGAAGACAAATGTGCATAATTTAATCAATCGGTGCATAACGTGATATCTTGAATTATTTTAAGAAATAATCATTATTCTAACTTGAAATTATCATACGTTTTTCTTTCATACTTAATCATGAACGTTTCCAGGGAATTCACGTAGCAATCGTTCCCGTTTGGACATCAATTAAAATCGTTATGGACTTAATTGCAGATAAAAAAAAATATAACGCAGCACAAAGAACGAGTGCCAAAGCGCTGTGTCTCGTTACATTTTGTCCTGCGATTTGTTTTGAACATCGAGCGCAAAAATATATTTCATCATACGCCTCTTCCAATCTGGGAAAGAGCGGACCTTGCATTTCCATAGCTGGCGAAATTTGATCGGCGAGCGAAAATTAATTTGCAAATACGGTATGATTAGGGCACGCGTATGCAAACAAACGGATTGTTGCGAAATAATTGGGTCATCGGAAAAACACACACAAAATAATCGTGAAGAGAGGCGAAATCTAATTAGAAGACCATTCGAAACAATTGCTCTTATAACTAAATCTATAACGAAGTCAAATTTTTTCTATCTAACGGGTTCGCAAATTTCCCAATCGAATTTTTGGCAAGGTCGCCAATTTCGTAATTCCCATGCACACTTTCTATGATGCCCGAAATCAACTAGATCTCGCATTTTGACATCATAGCCTACTTTGCACCACGCGCCACTGCTCAAAAGGAACAAAACAAAAACAAGAGGACGACGATCGACGTCGGATTTTAAGAGGAACCAATTAAAATTGAGGAACAACAAGTTGAGGGTTGCTTTTATATTTGCACCCTGACCATTCGTTTCGAGTTTTATGGGGGAATTGTAGTAGATTCGTTCGCTATACCTTATCGAATTCGAATTACCTGCGAACAGAGTAATTAAATCCTTCTGCTTTGGTATACGTTTGCACTTGATATCAAAATCCACTGGCGTATTATTAAATTTCTTTGTAGAGGGGAATAATTAAACACTGTTGTTGGTGGACACAATCACACAATGATAGAAAGTGCTTCACGTTCACGTACTGGTATATCGAAGAGGTATATCGTGAGGCTTTGTCCGCGAACTGAGTCTTGTGGCAGCCGCGACCGACCGATTACTGTAAGCTATTGACCACCAACTGCTGTATACTCCATGTAGTGGGGGTCAGGCACATCCGAAACGCACTCTGCCTTGACCAAAACGGCCCAAAATCAAAACCAACATCATCACGATCAACAACATCCTCCATTCCAATTGTTCATCAACATCGATACGCTTCAAATACAATAAAACCAATTAACTCCATTCAGAAAAAAAACGTACTTTATTAGGGTTTTGCAAATGTAACAAGCAAGAAAAGTGTAGATTATATCTTAAAAGAGCATTAACTGCAAAACCGTTTAGTTAAAACCACATTAGTAAATGATACCTAAAAAGTACTTTAAATTTTAACTTAATACTTATTAAAATAAAAATATAGTCATTTATTTTATATTATTCTAACTTGACAGCCATGAATTTATTGTATTCAAAACTTGTAACACATTTGAAAATTTGAAGCAAACAATTTTATACATGTTAAAACAAATATAATGCGTCAAAATATTGTTTTTATTGTAATATTATACTGGTCTAGAATTATTGTTTTTCGAGTTAACATTGTTTTTGCTATAATATTCAAGGCAATATCGATGTCGAGGTTTAAAAAAAAAACACAAAAAGACATTGATTAAGTCATTAGAGTCGTAATTCAGTTTAGTGATAGTATTATTAATTAGAACTGCAAAATGCCAGACGTATTTTTTGTTATATACATGTATTCAAAACTATCAAATAAGTCTGGAAACCATAACGAAAGAAAAGACATAAATAACAAATACAGTCAACATAGTAGGTGTCCTCATTTTAGAAATGTTTGCTTTTCCAGTAATTCTTCACATTTATCGTTATCCTTCAATGCGGAGATCATTTTTTTTTAACGTAGATTGATTTTGTAACCTGTTCTCTTTGGTATTATTATTATAATAATACTCTCAATAAACGTTTGCCCATGCATATTATTATATCACCTAAAGGTACATATCAGTTTTTTTTCTTAAATTACTTTCTAAAGATTTTATAATTGAAACGAAAAGTTAATCAGAACATTAACGATAAAAAAAAGCGATCGTAAATAGAATGCAGTTATTATTACATAAACAACAGAGATATTGCAATTTCGGTATTTCTAATAAATTCAGTTGTAGTAAATTAAAAATTGTTTTATAAACGAACAGATCGAATTTCAGTTACTCATTTCCGTTTACTAAGAAGTTAGCAACACACTTCTATTTCATATTTGGTGTCAATGCTTTCAAAGTTCGTTACTCAAATAAAGAAGAACAAATAGAACTGGCGACACACGATATTTTAAGAGTTATTGAACCTTTCGTAAGTAAATTTTAATAAATAGATTCATCGAAAATATGAATTTTGAAATAAAAATATCAAATTTTAGAACAGATATTTTATGAGCCAGAATCAAAGCGTTCAGTATCCTTGACTTATTTTACTGGACAAATTTCGTTTCCAAACTGGAAATGAAAATCAAGCTTGAATATGATCCAATTTCTAAAGATCATATCAAATTTGAAACAATAGTAATTAATCATATATAAATGTTAATATTTAAATATCGTATTATTCAAGGGCAAATCTGTTGTCGAGAGTGCATTCAGTTTAATATTTAGATTAAACTCGAAATCTTGTGCTGTATAAATAATAATAATGGGAACTGCGATCGTATGTAAACTTTACAAGTGGAGGCAGGCTTTGTTCTTCGAGTTTGCGAGTGACACGCCGTGAAACGTCTGTCTGAAGCGAGCCTTTCCAGACTGAATTTGCAATTCGCTGAAGAAAGCCAGTTTCTCGTCTGCCTTTTGGGTAATCCCAAGAACAAGTTTCAGTCCTATTCAAACCAACCTCGTTATTTAACACTTCACGAAAATAAACGGACACAGACAGCACACATATTCGAAACTTACTAAATATGCAATACAAATGTAAGTCTTAGATAAGTTAATGAGTAAAAAAAAATTGTAAAAATAGACCAAAAATCTAGTCATCCGAGCTGCGCGATTATTAATACCATCCGAAGATATTACATTCGCATCGAGTTATTTATAGATGAAGGAAATTACGAGTGGGTAATTAGAAATAAAGTGATACGAAACCCGAACGTGTTTCATTCCTTCATTCCTTCATTTCGTTTTTTCTCTTTTTTTTAGAGATTTATAAATAGTTGCAATT